ATTCAGTACAAATGAAGGAAAGCACTGTCTTAATGTTATCCAGATACGTCATTCAGTACAAATGAAGGAAAGCACTGTCTTAATGTTATCCAGATACGTCATTCAGTACAAATGAAGGAAAGCACTGTCTTAATGTTATCCGGATACGTAAATCAGTACATTTGGAGATAGTACTAGCCTAATATTATTACAGAGGAGGGAAGTTTGTACAATTGAATGGTCGTATTGGCTTAATATCAACCAGCTACGTGAGTCAATACATCTAACGTTTGGTACTAGCTTAATTTTGTATCGTGTATTTCATATGGTGAAATTTTGAGATACAATTTTTGTCTTTGTAAACATAAAAAAAATACATTAATGCACTTTTTTTTTTCATGTGAGAAGTTCTTCAAACTTTAATTTATTTGCGTTTCTCCAAATTTAAATAAGGACTCAACGACCAGAACTAAAACTTTATCGAATTGTCTGAGCGAGTTTTCATACAATTACTAACATGCTCTCCTCCTTGTTTGATGTTTTCATAACGTTTTTAAACTAGCCAGTGAGATGGTGTCCATGCGTAACGAATAAAGACATTTGCTGATATGTAAACTAAGATTGCTGGAGATCCTTAAACTGAGAAAATCGAAAGAAAACAAATCACCTGTCGCTGTTTGAGATCCCAACTAAGATTTTTTTATTATTATCTTCTTATTCGTATTTTCGTTTTAATTTTCTGATCCAGATAATTAAATTTTTAAACCTAATTTTAACCGAAAGTTTTGCTTGCTGAGACATAAAACGTGTACCCTCCTAACGTATGTAGTTAGTTACGTGACTAAACTTGTATTATTATTGTAATATAAGTTAGGTCTCGACAGTACATCACATGGTATGTAAATTTTCCGTTTTCATTTCCTTACCTTAAAAGTGGCAAGAAAGCACGTTTGGTGTGATCAATTAATTTCTGGATTAATTTGCGATGGTGTTATTAGAACTTGAATATTATGTTACATCACCTTATACCTTTTAATTCCAATAGGATCAGCGGATTAAACCGAATTAAAATTTCGAAGTTCTTGCCGACAGTATTAATTCGTTTAATTAGATAATTTACATTTTATTAAAATGGAAACTGAGTTTTTCGACACAGGTTCAGCTACTGGACTAAAGATATTAAATCTTTAGAAGTCATCTTTAAGCATGAACTAATCCTCTGATATATGAATCATATTACATCCGACTTAGCATCTTCTATATAAATATATATTGTTCAAAGTGTATAAAGGGCTGTTTGTATTTTGTGCAATTGGCTTTTTGAATCCAAATATTTAGCTATAATAAGTATAAGGCTTCCACACAGAAAAATACATGCCTTCAGAAGATGTCTCAAACACTGCATTTATTCACTTACATCATAATTTCACAAATATCGGGATTAAGAACATAATTTCTCGATGATAATGTTGATGTTACGAGCCTGATGCAAAACTAGACAGACATGATACAGAGTTGAGTACAAGACTTATACGGTTTGGCCTGATGTAGGGCTTATTATTAGCCCGACGTATAACTTGGGCATGAATCTGAAAGTGCATTGGTTACGGACCTCAGGCATGACTAGGCAGTAATCTGATTCAAAACTAAACTGGCAGGACTAAGTACAAACACAATACAAGGTTTCGTACGGATCTGATAAATGGAAGGAAAGGAACCTCATCCAGGACTGAAAACTGGTTTGCCATATGGCACTTTACCAGCTAAAAAAAGGTTTGATATTGATATGTTATTAAATTTGATAGGAACTTCACACAAGACTGGCTATGGTCCTGATAAGTGTACTTACTTCATACCTACCTGAGTTTCACACCAATCAGTGGTCTTACCTGAAACCTAACTGAATATGGTCCTGACACTGATTTGGGTACTTACCTGAAACCTAACTGAATATGGTCCTGACACTGATTTGGATACTTTCTTGAAACATAATTGAATATGGTCCTGAC